AAATTAAATTGTGAGTCCAACTAAGCGGCCAGAATGTAGTATATCATATATACAAATCTATGACCCATTCAGTGTATTCACACAATATTTGATTAGATTAATGTAGACAAAAATATCCACTAAGAAAAATTTTTCATGACAATAAAAAATTACTAAGAATAAAACATAACAAAAATACTGGAATGGCAAATATATGACCAGCATTTCTAATAGTTTGGGGATAGGCTATCACACACAGTTTTAGTATGTGGTAGACATGGATAGGGTCCATGATGCTTACTGAAGTCCAGGTGTCACTTGTGGGACTGAGCCACTGCTATTTCCTTGATATCCACCCTGTAGACCCAGACAGAATCATGCCCCATAGGGTGCAGGAGAAGTCCATTTGTAGAGTGTACTGATGGAAATATTTTGCTGCTGAATACAAGAGAATAATTGAAAGACTGCTGTTGTATACCTCTTTTTCTCCTATGTTTGTTTGCCCTATTTTGTGGGTTCTTTCCATTCTCATTCATGGAATTGTGATAATTTTGATCCCTCTCTATAAACTTTTAGTAGTCTTGTAGGGTTGGCTTTGTCATCATGAAATTTTTTAGTTGTTCTTTTTCATAGAAGTATTTCACTTCTCCATCAAACTTGAAAGAGAGTTTTTCAGTGTATATCAGTCTGGATCAGAATTTGTTTTCTTGCAAGACTTGAAGTACTTTGTTTCATGCTCTTCTTAACTTGATGATTTGTGAAGAGAAATCTGCCATTATTCTGAGGGGTTTTCCTTTAAATGTGATCTGTTTCTTTTCTCTACCAGGTTTCAGTATACTGTTCCTGTGCTGAATTTCTTGGATCTTGATTATTATATGGCTGGCTGTGGATTTAATTGGGTTTGTGTTATTTGGAGTTTTATATGCTTCAGTTACCTAAATGTCAGATTGTTTCCCTATATTTAGGAAGTTTTGTGCTATTACTTCTGCCCATATTCTTTTTTTTTTTTAAGTTTGAAAGAACTCTGTGGGCCAGACTTTAGATGTTCTTTTTATTTATCTATTTTATTTATTTGTTTTATTTATTTATTTATTGTGTGTGTGTGTGTGGCCAGCTCAGCCCACCAGGGGGCGGGGCTGGCTGGCATGTGGTGCTGGGGGATTAGAACCGCGGTCCCTTAGCTTAGCCTGTTCTAAGTAGGTGCTTTAGACCACTGAGCCATCTCACCAGCCCCTGCCCATATTCTTTTTATATCATTTGTATGTTTCCTTTCTTCTCATTGATGCCTATTAGTCTTACATGGTTCATCTTTGCATCATCTTGCAGATGTTGAATTATTTTTTCCTGCATCCCAGTTGTTTTGTTTTGTTTTACAGTACCGGGGATTGAACTCAGGACCTTGCACTTGCCAGGCAAGTGCTCATTCTACTGAGCTATCTCTCCAGCCCCATCCTAGTTGTTTTTAAGAGATATTTTTTCTTACCTTTTCACTAGCTACAATGGTGTCTTCAAGATCTGAAAGTCTATTTTCACTTTCATTCAAATGGTTTTGCCAGCTTGTGACTGAGGTTTTAATTTCCTGTATATCACTTTGAATCTGCTTCATGCATTCTATTTCTTTCCTATATTGCTCATTCAAGGAGTCCATCATTTTTCTACTCTCCTCTGTTGTTTTTATCAGTGTCTTCTTTAGAAGCACTTCATACTTCTTTCATTACAGTTATCATTTATTTTTTACTTCAGAAATTATTTCAGTTTTTTGTTTGTTTGCTTATTTGTTTGTTTGTTTGTTTTGAGAAACTGGGGATTGAACTCAGACCCTTGTGCTTGCCAGGCAAGCACTTATTCTACTGAGCCATCTTCCTGGCCCCTTCAGAGATTATTTCTGATAAGATTTCCTGTATCCTTTTCTGCAGTTGTTTCTTTACTTCAGATGCTATTATTTCAGAGATTTCAGGTATGTGATTTCCAATTTCTTCTATTGTATTGTCTCCTGCATTTGTTCTGGGTGGGCTCAGGGCCTGATAATGCATTTTGTTCCTTCTCTTTGTCTTTTTGCATAGTACTGTCTTCTGACCTTTGGTGTAGAGATTTAGTAGAGTTATTACCTTAGCACCAGGTCTGGATCTACCAGGTTTAAACTTGTGCATATGGATGTGTCTTGGGTCTGGCTGCTGTGCTCCATTTCTTCCTGCTGCATCCTTCGGAAGTGAACCCGCTGTGCCACTCTGGCAAGATTTCTGCTTCTATATCAGCTGGGTGGATCTTGCCTCTAGCCCCTCTGCAGGGAGTTCTGCTTCAGGGTTCCATACCAGGCCTGTCTGATGGAGGACGTTCTACACCATGCCTGGCCTGTGTGCTGTCTAGAACGAGGATCCAGTGGACCAATGGGAAGTCCCACTGACCTGCAGGGCCTGGGTGCTGGCTGGAGCCAAGATCCTGTGAATGTTCACCATGTAACCATCCATTACCATATTGCACACCAGGTGGCAACCACCATCTGTCTGGACCTCACTTTTATGACAGCAAATAACTGACTAAGACATATACTTCTCTCTCTCTCTCTCTCTCTCTCTCTCTCTCTCTCTCTCTCTCTCTCTCTCTCTGCAACAGAGATAATTATAGTTATAACATAGCTGGTAAGCTAAGTAAATAATATACAAGTCACCTTCTGTTCTCCATTTATTTTAAATATCTTCCTCTCTTGATCATTATTAACCAGATCTCTACCCAGAACTGTGGCTATGTTTTGGCATCACCTGTCCAATGTATGTGTGAGCCAACGCGCCAAACTTCAGCCATCAAAATAGAAAAGAAGAGAAGCAGGCACAAACATTTACCCACAGTTCATTGGTCAACTTAAAAAAATGAGATAATTATAAATTAGTTTCCTTGGCAGTTTAGATTTGTATTACATACGAAGATAATATGTTTTGGAAATTTTTCAGAACACACTGAGTGAGTCATAAATCTAGAAGTAGGCAGAGCTGCCCCTCTTTGCTCATGTCCATGTGGTGCCATTTAGGCTCATGCACAACAGGGACAGCAGTCCATTCCCCCAAAAAAACAATGGAGTGGACTTTCTCTTCCTATGTATTAAAGCCATGTTACCCCTCCCTATTGGTCTACTTTTCACCATTGGAACCCAACACCTGAAAACCACAATTTAAAGAAGGAGAAATAACTTGGCTCATGGTTTTGGAGGACCCTTTATGGCAGGCTGACTCCAAGACAGGGGCATCATATCAGATGGTTACGGTGGAGAAAAGAAGCTTAGTTGTTCATGGTGGGCAGAAAGCAGAACATGGCAACGGCACCAGAGAGGAAGAGGCCAGAGACAGGTATATCCCACAAGCCACCTCTCTTTGAACTACCCAAGTACACCCAGAAGTATCCTCTGCTGATCCTCTAGGTTGCTCCCAGACCAATTAAATTCACCCTTTTCCCTCCCACATCTTCCTGCTGGGTTCAGGCCTCTAAATTAGACTCCACTTTTTTAGACTCTAACTACAGAACTTTAGAGTTCAACTTAAGCATTATTTTTGTGACTAGGAAAGTTACATTTGGCTTTATTAATAGCATCCATAATCAGTGAGAAAGCTGATAAACATTTTCAAGCTCAGTTTTCTTTGACTATATTATATTGTGTCTTTCCTATACATCTTCTTTTTATTCCCAGGAACTTAAAAAAAAAAGTGCCTGAGAAGTGTTGGAAAATATCTTGGTGGGACATTTTAAACAGTTTTCCATACTTAAAAAAATTGTATTAATGACTATAGCATTGACTTTTAATTCTTAAGAAATACCTATATTTTTCTCCAAACAGCCTCAAAACCAGTGGACTCCAAATTATGCACTGGCCCTGTACCTAACAGCACACGGCTGTGCCACATTCCCTGTCCAATCGAATGTGAGGTTTCACCCTGGTCAGCTTGGGGACCTTGTACTTACGAGAACTGCAATGACCAGCAAGGCAAAAAAGGTACGTAACAGTACTACTCCATATCTGAAACGCAGAGGTTGAGTCAGGTCACGAATTTAAAAAAGTGATTTCCGCGTTCCTTGTGATTGTTTATAGTATTTTCCAGAAGGGCTCTTTTCCAGCATATAGATCTCAAAGAATGAATAAACCTACCCTGGTGATAGTACCAGGAGATTAAAATGGATGCACATAAGGAAGTGCTTGATTGGTTAGGTAACAAGATAAAGAAGACTTGGGGCACTTAAGTGCCCTGATGAGGGTGAGATGTCCCAGACTGACATGCATGGGCAACTCTCCTCTGCTCCTTATCTTATTTACTGTAACCTATAAAAGGGATGTAACAATAGTTGCCCCCGAGATTGTCTTTGAAGAATCAAGGAGGAAATAAACAAGTCATTCAAGGCCTGAACTATGGGCAGTGACAGTGATCATAGCTCTTTGTTGCTTCAAAGGTAGCAATCTTTTTTTTAAATTTTGTTATCTTTAATTCACAAAATGACACATATGAATAAAGTGAAATAAATATAATGGTTTATTTTGCTGTGTGGTATGGTGAACTAGATTGACACCGTCTCTTAATTTGTTTTTCCATTTTGTTTCAAAGGACAGCCTGTAATAATTCTAATATGCTCTCTTAGCATTAATACATTTATTAATTTTGCTTTACATTGTCAAAGAGACACTGCTCGGGCATTATTAAAAAGCATATAGCAGAACTCTGAATGGTGATCATTGTGCCCAGATAGTTGAGGTTCTGAGTTCAGATTTCCTGAGAGAAAATTCAATGCAGGCTCACAAAGATCATTTCCTGCAAGCTTCCAACATCTCAGAACTTCGTTTTCCAGATTCAACCATGTAACTGTGCTGAAGAATGAGAACTCAATCACTTTCATCCACCTGATCCTATCTCTGAATAGTTTTTTATTGATACCTTAATGATTCTCTATATTTTCTATCTCTATGCTGTCCATCTGCATCCTAAGCCTGATGTAGAACATGAGAGCTATAAGACTTTTTTATTTTGTAGAAGGCTGAAACCAAAATACACTCTTCTCTGCATTCGTTCATTTATTCATTTGCTGAATGGTTCACAGTTCAGGTTAAGCTATGACTTGGGGATGCATACCCTAGTGATTCAAGGCAGAAATGACTTTTCTGCCCTGTGCCCTCGTCTGGCACCCACTCTGAGTTTCACTCAGCTTTCTGAAAGAGCTGTTGACAGGAAATGCTTTCTTTTCCCCAATGACTCAGGCTTCAAACTGAGGAAGCGGCGCATTACCAATGAGCCCACGGGAGGTTCCGGGGGGACTGGGAACTGCCCTCACTTACTGGAAGCCATTCCCTGTGAAGAGCCATCCTGCTATGACTGGAAGCCGGTGAGGCTTGGAGACTGCGAGCCAGATAATGGAAAGGAGTGTGGCCCAGGCACACAGGTTCAAGAGGCTGTGTGCATCAACAGTGATGGTAAGATAGATAGACCTGCCACCGTTTTATAAAACTGCATTTAACCTTGCAAATGTGGTGTTAACTTAGCTAATTTTTTTTTCTCTTAATTGGTTCTATTTAGGTATCTATTTCTCTATCATCTGTCTCTCTCTGTCTCACTCGGTCTCTCTCTCTCTCTCTCTCTCTCTCTCTCTCTCTCTCTCTCTCTCTCCCTCCCTCCCTCTTTACTTCTCCCCCTCCCCCCTGACATCTGTCACATGGTGGCACTGGAGAGATTCCATGAACAGTCATAGGTGTGCCTTTAAATTTGAACACAGACAACATGGAGTAAAACGAAACCATAATCAGGGCAGAATGTATTGAATCAAAAGCAACAAGGAAATGTACCAGTTTCCTAAGTGATATTGTCTTATTTACCTCAGGAAAAGAAATACAAGTTTAGAAGGGTTGTAATTGCTGGGTCTTCCCCAACCGCGTAATGATTTAGTATTTTATATCTAATTTTCTGGAACACAATATTCCATTGTTATTTATCCTTTTACATGTAAGACTTTTACATTCTTTCCAGGAGTGCTGCTATGATTTGGGAGAGAACCCCTTATGCTTAGCAATCTCTGAGTCATATTTAAGAACCATAGGAATCCCACCCCAAATCAAAGCCCCACACACATACACACACATGGTTTAAAATCTCTAGACAAGTTCTTTTTGGAGTCCTGCTAACTCTCAAATCATACAACTCTGCACATCAGAGAATTACAGGCAGTAACCCCCAGGGTCTCATGGTTTGACAGTTTATGCTGTTTACGGCATATGCAGTCCCTTCCTGCTGCCCCCTCTGGGCTACTGGAACATCTGGTAATGTCATAAATCCTCCCATCCTATTTTCTTCCAGCAAGCAGAATCATTGCCTCCTGTGACTCAGTCACTGTTCAGTAGGAAAGAAAGATGTTCTCTGGGGCAGAAGACTGACAGAAGCTAGTGTTACTGAAAAATTAGCTTTTTGACTTTGAAGCATACAGCCTCTCCTTTGTCCAGGGCCTATGTGGGCTAGGCAATATCTGAGCTGGTGCCTGAAGTTGAAATTCAATTATATATATAT